ACTCTTCACATGCAAATATTTCTTGAACACCAATTCTGGATTTGCATTCCTGTACCCATAAGGCTACATATCAGAGCAACATTAGAAGAAACCGTAAATCAACAAATGGCACAGAGAGAAACTACTGTACCAGGCACAACTCCCAAAATTAAACAACATACCAAGCCCTAAATTCAACATTAACTAAAAAGATGAGAGATCTTACCTGTTATAAATGTCATCATCTTCGCCACCCCAGCCCCAATAATTATTGGGAAACCCATTGATTTTTTGGAATTGTTCCTTACTTAAAGCAGACACACCTCCAAAATACTGATTGTAAGGTAAGCTGGAAGAGACAAAGATAAATTGTTCATTTAAATTCATGTGATCATAGAGAAGCTTGGATTATATCTCTAGTCACAATTCTAGATAGATGTGATCCAGTGGTGGGTTGCAGGCAGTACGCCCCAGTACGGGTGTACTGGTGCCTACCAGGAGCACCGGGTACCGTTCCGGTACGGTGCTCCGGAGGGCCCGTCAGCCTGTCCTCCTGTATTTGAGCTCTTCGGCACTTCCACGCACGCCACGTACGGCATCTGCACAATGCTCCACCGAGCAGCTTGAGCATCAGGAAGGCTAATGGAGGCATCGCAAGCGGTAAGGACGCATGGCACACTGCGCACATTCATATGGTGGATGCCGGGCCCCATTGCACCATACCGGGTGCACCGGGATCCGGAACCCACCACTGATGTGATCAGAAAAAGTAACATGCCACCTCGTACTCCTGTAAACTTGTCTATGCCAATATATAAAACCGTGTTTTCTGAAATCTCTGAGTTCCGAATTCATCAAAACCATTTTTCAAGTTGGAAGAAGCCATAACTACTTTTTTAAAAGACTGGAAATCTTTTATGGAGATTTTGATGAAAATGGAAAAAAATGAGCTCTATGGTTCATTTTTATAGTTTATTATATAGGAAGAATAATTCTGTAATTTGAGAGGATGGAAACAGTACTAGTTATGTTTGTAACTGATACAAAGATCATAAATTGTTTTTTAAAACTTTCTTCTCTTTCTTCTTCTGAATTTACACCATATTGTTGTTCACTTTTTTCTGTTTTTCTTTCCTATCTTTATATATCTTTTTCGCTTTTCTATATATTATTTCATTTTTCTATAGTTTTAATTTTGTAAAAAAAAGTTTTTCATTAAATTTATATTATTATACTACATATACACATATACATATTTATAGATGTGTGTCTTTGTGAATAAATTTTATACACACACATATGTATTTGCATCTGTATACATGTACTATTATTCAAGCTTAACTGAACTGTCAGCAACATCTAGGTAACCTTGTCTGAGCTCGGAAGGCAAGCTCAGAAGGTAAGGTGGAGACTGGTTAGCACTTAGATGGGAATATAAAGTTGGAAGCTAGACTGGACAGTTAAAAAAGTAAGAATAATTAGAATGTCATTAGAACAGATGCCAGATTTAATTGTGACACAAGCTATATCTAAAAAAGAATCACTTCCAAGATCCCTCTAAATATTGGTTTGGGCCCCAATGGTGAACATCCAACAGAAAATCTGCCCTCCTTCCAAAAGTATAATGCAAGTGTAGATATAGTCATATTCTGGCCTCCAGATCCTCAGGACTAGAGATTATTTATTATATTCATTTGCCACCAACTCCCAATAATTCACTCATATTAGTATATGCTTTATACTAAATGTAAACAACCAACTTCTTACCGAAATCCAAATTTATCCATAGATACAGAGAGGTGCCTGGGCTGGTCGTAACACTTATAGATATTCCTGTCATCCATTGGGATTAGGTCAACATCACTAAATACAAAGCAGTCATAATCATATTCTTTCAAAGCTTCTGTGAAGCCTACATTCAGAAGCTTTGCACGATTAAATGTTTCTTCTCCATCCTAATGTAAGAAAAGGAAGAATTGTTATGAGCCTTCAAAAGATTAGTTGGTACTTCTTATTTATTACTGTACCACCCAGGGCCTTCATCAGAGGCAACATCAGAGGTGGATTGCTGCCGGTTCAGCCCGATTCACAACTGTTCAGCCCGCCACGCCCCCAAACCAGTTCCCTTGCTGCTGTTTAGCCACTGCCATTCTAGATTTTAGTGACTGCGCATGCACACTTCACTGTAAATTGTTCTGTGCATGCGCAAAGAACAATTTACATTGAACAGCACATGCACGCACTGCGGACATCTGGAATGCGGGTTGCGAACCAGCAGTAACGCCGGCAGCAACCCACCCCTGGGCAACATATACAGCACCATATACTCACATAAGCCTACAATTTGCCAGTTTTCTGTCCAGTTTGGCTTATAGTTAAGACCAACAATAAAGTTTATATGAAAGGAATGTGCTCATTTTGCATTTCAATGAACTTCCCATCAAACTATGGGAAGAGAGAAAGCATACACACAGCAAAGAATTTCACTTTGCTCTGCATTAGCCTTCTGAAATCTGAAGTTTTCTCAGTGGATTGGGGGTGCTCCTGAGATGTCCCTCCAGATAGTAGTTCATCATGTTGGTGGATGCTACTCATTTTCATATGTTAAGATGGTGTACAGTCTTGTCTCTTCTTCCCATTCAGTTACCTGAATGTTGTTAAAACATATACAGTAGTTCAGATGTTGTCCAATGAAGAACAATGTCTGCAAGCCTCATTTACAGAGGGAGGAATGGAAAACCAGCTTTCCAATAAAAATTATTTAGATCATATTTTAATGTTTACAATTACTTTAATAAAAGAGCCTGGCATCACACAAATATCTAGATCATATTTATTATAGTGGGAAGCAAAACAAAAGATTCTTTATACGTCAACTGTGTTTGTTCTCAATGTCATCACCCTTAACTTTTTCCATTCTTCCTCTCCTCTGTTTTGTTAACCAATGAAGAAACACAACTGTTGGTTTTTTTTAAAGGGTTAAGAGTATTATTGTCCTGCTTGCTCCACAGAACTATTTTCTGGCCACGCCTGGATGATGTGACAAAAAGCAGAGTAGAGGCAGAGCAGGATTTAGCAATCTTCAGCGGAAGAAAAGAGTACTAAAGACAAGTGGAAATGTTTGAGATAGTTATATTGAAAGTGATAAAAAAAATTAATAACTCCATACTCTTTATAATACCAGATTAGTCCCAAATACAACTAAAAGAGAGATCTGACAGAACTTTTTGTTTTGTTCTTGTGGTTGTTTTCATTGATTGATTGACTGTGCCATCAAAACAGTGTCAACTCTTAGCAAGTGCATATATTTTTTCTCCATAAATTGTTTTCACAGATTACTAAAAATAAAATGTACATTTTGGGAGTTTTGAAAATTACAATCCAGTTCTACATTTGTCGAATTTGAAATGTAATGGAAATGTTTATGACCTTGGCAAAAATTACACAGCCAAACACAGCAATGAAAATACCCTTTATGACAGTGAAGGATTAGATGAAATTACCATTCTCTCCTTCCAATTAACTCTCTTCAGAAAAACTAGTCAACCATATGATTGTGGCCACTGTTTACTGTGGATCAGTAAATAAGCAAAATAATAAAAGGAGGGGCAGAATTAGGAGGTCACTTTCACAAGATTCCCTTAAATATGAATTTTGAAGCAGCAGACTTATTAGAGGTATGTTTTGCAAATGGGACATGTTTCCATTTCTGTTTCTGTAAATTCAGCAAAGACAAACCATAATAATATCCCAGAGTGGATAAAATGTTGAACTGGAAAATCAGTTACATGGGGAAGAATTATTTATTTCTAACACTAATTACTTAAGATGGATACTATAGAGTTATTTTAAATGGATTGAGAAAGAGTTTTTATAGTCTCAAATGACAGGTTATAGTTATTCCTGCTACATTTCTCTATACAAAGTCACTGCAGCAAAACACATGCAGTTAGTTTTAGCCATTATCTCTGGTAAATCAACTATTATTTTCTTAAAAGCCAAATTTGTGTGTGGATTAATTCATTTGCAGAATTATCAGTTTACAATTTTGTATCAAGCAGAGGTCTAATCAATACCAAAGACACAATTGCACATTACTTTTTTTAAAATACAACTCATAATAGCATTCAAGTTTAATTAATATATTTTAGCTTGAAAATGCCCTATTGAAAGAGAGGATTCTTATTTAGCTTTTTTTTCTTCTCCAAAAAAGATTAGAATTACTTTAATTCTTATTTTAGTCTTAGTACAATAGCCCTACAAAAAAAAAGCTGTTATGTTAGAAGGGTGCATATAGTTTTACCTATTTTAAAAGTTTGGCTCAATTCTGGGAAATTCTCTATCTATTGATATTTCTAAAGAATTGTTGGATAAATCTTATTCTAAATTGAAAATTGAGAGCCTGCTTAATTTTCCTCCCTGAAATGGTGAGCTAATAGTTGCTAAAACAGAAGTGTTAACTAAATGATGCAGCTTACATCTATGGAGATTCTCAATCATCCAGGTCATGGTTGTCCCAAAGGTGCTTTTCCAAAAGGCAACTGGACTTACTTGGTGTTTTTTCCTTGAAAAGATTTTGCTTCTCATCCAAGTAGCTTCTTCAGCAGAAGTGATCGTAAGCTGCATCCCAAAGGAATGCATCTTGCAATGAATTTATTCAGCATACATTGGAGACACACTGCCAAAGCAGTAGCAGCCTTGTATAGAAATATAGGAATATGAAAGCTTCCCACCATTGAAAGCAGCAGCCTGAGCAAGTGACTGCATGGGGAAAATTCAACTCAGTTGTAAATCCCTTTCTGTATTGTACCATCTGCAAACGGTGTTGCAAAATGAAAATATGCTGGTTGCATTTCTTTGGAAACTTGTCACATGTTCTTTGTATTTTCTAGTTCAATCAACAGAAATGAAATGGCCTCATAGAGATGAGGGAAGAATTTTCTTTGGCACAAAGTACTTTGGCAGAACAAGGCAGCTGCCAGATTCTAGCACTGGCAGCTTCAACTTTTCCAAAAAGGTGTCAGTGGAGCAGGTCATGGGCAAAAGAATCTGACCTGGAGTAGACAACTTTCTGGCCATCTGGCTTTCTCACAGTTTAACCAAGCAAACAAGAAGATATGCTTGGATGGTCTCAGGTCAAATCCTGTCAACTGCAAAATCATTCTACAAAAGCCACCATTCCAATCTCAGCTGACAATCAGATCCAAGCTAATATACATGAACCACTTTGTATTGTACAGTATATCTCAAATCCCCCATTATAGTTTCTTCTCATCCCTCCTGGCTCTGTCTCAACATTTCCTTTTTAGGAACACGTAAATACAACCAGCCAAGTTTGCAAGAGAATTTCCTGGCATGTTTTTTTGAATGGCCGATCTCCTCTTTAAATTAATCATGTTAGCTTCAGCTTCCTCTCAAGGGAATAAACAAAGGCAAAAAAATAATAATAATGCAGGAAGGAACCACAAACCAAACTATGCCTTTTGACAAAGATTATGATCTTAAAAATATCTCAAATAACTTCTTCACTTCAGGCTCACATTTATGACAAAATATCCAATCAACAATAGTAAGCATTCACTTTCTCTGCCTTCCACGTTTGAATATGGAGACTTAAACTCTGAATTTCTGTCTCATCTATTCAAGCCCAACCAACTCAATGGTGATATTAAATGCCTCTTAATCTTGAGCAGCTTGAAGAGTAAAGACATTTATAGAATTATTTATAAAATTATTGTTAAATGTCTAAAAGTCACCAAAATATATATACTTTGGAAAAGGTCTTACTTCATCTGACTTTCTTAATTAGAAAGCTTCCCATTCACTTAGTTAGCTGCTTAGACAGCTGCTGCAGGATGTGTTATTCTTCTCATTTTCAGCAGTTCCAAAGCCTGTAGCAGAATACACAGCTGATTTACATAGAAGCAACTCATTCTGCATTTAATGAGGATAACTTTCTATGTCTTCCAGATTGACAACAATCTTATCCAATTACTACACTGGAGGATGTGAAACCAGCAATCCACCTAGGTTAATATGTAATTTCATTTTCTTTCAGGAAATACAGGCATTTGTGAAATGAACTATTGGTTGAAGGACTCATACAAAAAGCCTGATTAACCTCAATGTCTCAAACCAGCGTGAGCAAAACAATAATGCATTTTATTGTGTAATTTGGTTCTGAACAATTAGGAGCAGAAATTAGGACATATTGTACCTCCAAAAAAGAATAACTGGAAAATGGATATGGGACAACAACACCCTCAAGATTAAATTCTTGCCAACCCGGAAAAAAAATATTGCAAAGGTATTTGAAACTCCATCCCCCAACTGTAACCTGATGCATAAAATCTCATTTTGCAAAGCACTGGAAATTGGAGAGTGTCATTTGAGCAATTTAACCAAATAATAGGTTATTTAATACTTAAATTGGTAAATAGGATAGATTTGTAGGATTTTTACAATGTATACTGGGTCATAGTTTCAACTTTTAAAAAATAGCATGAAATATATTCATTAAAAGATCAAGAAATTGCTTCCCGTTTACCTGGGTATGCTCATATCTACAGCAAATACCTCCTACACCCTCTACTTTCAGCCACCAAAGCATAGGAAGCAAATCAGGAAGCCAAAACCAGTTAGTGTAGGAGTGTCCAACTCAGGCATCACATTGTCATCATATGATTTATCGTTACTTTCCCCCCCTTCACTAAACTGTGTGGACGTGGTCAGCATGTGATACATCCGGGCCATGGGTTTGACACCCCTGAGCTAGTGCAAAATGTAATTGGAAATAGAGGAACAGCAACAGATGACTTTAAGGGTCCTGTTGTGCCTTTCTCCTTAGAAGAGAACAAATATTCCAACATCTGAGTCAAAATTTATATTTACATCATTTTCTATTTGATGCAGAGGCAAAAAAAACCCCACAGTATGTATCCCTGCTTGCTTTGTG